ACACGACGGTGAGAAGATCCAGAGTTACCGGTTCTTTCGACTCATCGCGACAGAGACACGCCATGTCACGTAATTCTGTTACACGTGTTTGCTTCTTTAGTTTTGTGGTACACCGTAATTACGTCCCTTTGGTTTCTCGAACGTAGATTTCGCGGTGCTGCCGCGCCTCTCAGGCTGCCTTGAGTTTCCGTTTCCGTTCGTTTGTGACACGGGTGTGAGTTTGGTCTTGACGTAGCAACAGAGAGTAATGGTATAGACACGATCTGCCTAAAGGAAACTGAAATATTTTCCAAAAACGAACCACGTTCTTGCAAAACGCACATTCGGACACGTCGATTAATCGACGTTAATCGATATTCATCTCGCACAACGCTCGCGAATTGGTCACTGTGAAGAATCGCGATTTCGAACAGTCTTCTTCTTTACCCCAATTTTAAAAAATCAAAAAAGAAAGAACGATTTAAAGAAGAGAAGGAAAGAAAATAATAACGACGAGGAAAAATGTACGCGTTTCTGGTACCTATACCATTGAAAGTCAGCTCTGCGAACAAAATTGAGAAAATTGAGAAAATTGAGAAAAGAAAACGAGATGTACTGTTAGTTTCGAGCGTGTAGTTTGAGCACTGGTGGACTGTGGATGTGTTTTGTGCCGCAGATGTACATGCAGGAGCTCACCAAGCAGCGCGAGATGCTCTACACCGTCGAGCTGGTATGTCTCATACCCAATCTAGTTTAATTAAGACGACTTCACTAAAACGGAACGAAACGAATTTCCACGAACTTTAAACTCGTCACTGTCTACGCCGATGAGAATCCTTATCGATCATTCCGTACGACGATCGATCGATCGAATCCTCGCCAACGAAGTATACCTCGAATATACCTCGTCGAATTTCCGAGGGTGGATCGTACCTCGCTGTTGGATCGAGTTATCACGGTTTAATCGATCGGTGGCCCACTAGCGATCGGTAACGAGCAGGTAGACAGACTGACGAGTTCAAAGTTAGCACGTTCGGTCGCGAATCGATAGCTGAAACTAATCTGCACTCGCCGATTCGTCGGCTTCTCGTCGGGGATCTTAGCCAGACCCTCGGACGAGCTGTCGACGAATGAAATCGCGGTGGAAACGAAACATTTCGCCACGCGAGTGCAACACTAATGCTTTTCAAGAGATCCACGTTCACTAACCAGTCCCTCGTTAACGACGTTTTACGCACCTGTTCGCGTGACACACGCCAGTCATTTGTCAATCATAGATGCTTCTCTCGCTTTGTTCACATCGGCAGAAGATTCGGACGCTTGCATCTCTCTCGTAATCAATGACCGTGACGAAGACAAAATTTTAATTGTACTCGAAAAGATTGGAGAACATAGAGTAAAACAGAACGCTGTGTGAAGATTGAAACGCAGTGATCATTCGAAAAACCTCTTTCAAACAGTATCATCGTAGTCGGAACATTGTCGTGTATCGCAGTGTGGTTGGGTAAAAGAACAATTGCACGGTATTTTTGAAGCGAAAAGCGTAAAATCGAGTTGCCATTATCGAGTGTAGTCTTTCTGAAACGAGTATCTTGGAAACGGACGTAGAGTTTGTCGTAGCCCGTGCGTGTCAAAGTTGTGCTTCTAACGAGATCCTTTGAGAGAATTCTTTAATGCATGGAACGCTGCAACCAAAATTTCCTTTGTTTCTTTCGTTGAATGCCTCTCGTCGAACACTTTAGGAAAGAGAACGAAGGAGACAGCACATGGCGCTGGTTAGAGCACTGGAGAATCGTCGGAAGATGGAGGAAAGGGAGAAGAAACGGCTGGAGGCAAGAGCCGAGCGAATAGCGACGAAAGAGAAGCGCGCCGAGCAGAGGAAGGTAGAGATGGAACTGATCGAACAGATCAGAAAGCCTGTGGAGGACATGGAGCTAACGGGTACGGCTTTGTGAACCTTTTGTGCCAGGCTATGTAGAGTTTCTGTGACACGCTATTCTCCGATTTCAGATCACAGACCACTGCCAGAATTGAAACGAATACCTGGTCTGAAGCTGTCCGGTCAGGCGTTCGCTGATATCGTGATGGTTTTCGAGTTTTTGCATAATTTTGGCGAGACTTTAGGCTTCGGTGAGTACCTCTTTATCGTTCTTCCGCTTTCAAACGATCTCTTAAACTTTAAACTCGGGACACTTGGTTAAATATCTTCTCAAAAATTGCGTCGTTTCGCTGAGCTAATGATCGAAACACGGGAAAAGTTACTGAAACGCTAATCTTCGCTCTTGCAGATATGGAGTCGCTGCCGAGCCTAAAGAGCCTTCAGCTGGCACTCCTCAACGACGAGGAAGCGGAAGAAGAGCTCTTGTCCGTGATGACACATCTATTAGTATGCGCAATCGAGGATCCAGGAATCCCTCAACCGGCGAGGCATACGACAGGTCTTGGTCAGAGTCTGCGTCAAGCTGACATAACGCACGCTAACATCAGCGAAGTGTTACGGATTTACTTATACGCGAACGCGACCGGAGAGGTGAAAGCTTTGACAGGGGTGTGCCTGGAACGAGAACGTGACAAAAAGTTCGCTGATCATCATCAGAACGGCGGTGATTATGCTTCGACCTGTTCGGGTAAAAATGCCCAATTTTATGAGCACCTGCACAACAACGAAACGTGGAAGATGTCCGAAAGGCTGAGGGACAAACCATTCTTAGCCTTGAACCCGACGCACAAAGCTCAGATGCTAGCGTTCCTCTGCAACGAGCTGTTGCAGAACAAGGCTGTGATCAGACAGATTGAGGGGAGCTTGGAAACGGTGGCTCAATTGAGGAAAGAGAGATTCGTGTTAGATACAAAGATTAGAAAGTATGTATCCTTTTGTGATTCGAGGATTTGCTCGTTGCTGACATTTAGCAAGAGATTAGTCGATAATTGTTACCTTGTTCTTGTAGGTTGAGGCAGTTACATAGTCGAAAGGTGCGAATGGAAGCTGTTGGTGTAATTGTTAATAAGACTGGGGACACTATTACGATTGAAAAGAAAGAGGTTGACGAGGAGGGTAACACGACGTCGACAGCAGTAGGAACGACACCCACTCCGGATGAGATTCATCATGAAGATGAGGTTGAGGATATGTCTGAGAACGAGAGCGAAGGAACACAGCCCGAGGAGGTAAATTATATAGTTAATAATTGTTTATCGTATATCGATAGGCGATAATAATTATGTATTGATTATTCTATTTTGAAAGATGATTTAATGTTCTGCTTTGTGATTTAGGAGGAAGATAAAAATCTGTCTGGCGAAGAACTTGGTAAAAAATTGGATAAATTGTTGAAACAGTCGGAGGAACAATTGCAGAAATTGAATAGCTCCTCGAAACAGTTACGAGCACATATATTCGGTCAGGATAGGTATTGGAGAAGATACTGGGAGCTGGCATGCGCGGGTGGCATCTTCGTCGAGGCAATGGAGAGCGCAGAACCGGAAATTCTGGAACTGCAAGCTGAATTAGACGAAAAGTACAAAAATGTGTCATTGGAGAAGAAACCAGAAACGAAGCAGGAGGACACCAAAGTCGAAAATCGCGAAAATGAAGCTCCCAATGACGTAAAGAAGGAAAAGAAGTTCAATTCCAGTGAACAAGAGGAAGATGTGAAGCCTGTGGTGGATAAAACCAAGTCTGAGGTTGAAGATATCGGTTGTAAAAAGGAACCTATGCAAAATTATGAAAATTTGACAAACGTAAAGGAGGAGAAAAAGAACGATTTGGACAGTCCGATGACCGATGCCAAGACCAACGTTACGTCTGAAGAGATTAAACAAGAAACGGAAGTTGTTAGCATGGATGTGGATATCAAAGAAGAGACAAAGAAAGAGAACGACGAAACGGACGAAGATATGAAATCGGTGAAGATGATGGAAGATAAGATCGTTGAGACAATTCCGAACGGTGACAAGTACAATCACGTTAACAATCTTCATAATGGAAAGGAGCTGAATGGCACATTTATTTCCAGTATGATTTTCCCAATTTACTATTAATGTGTGTAACATATTTACTATCAAAGATGTTTCATTGATTTCGTTTACGTTAATTACAGATAACAGTAATGAATTCAACTGGTTCTCGATTCTACCACGAGAAACTTGCGACACTCCAGGACCAAGTACCAAACAAATATTTGGAATAGCTGAACCGACCGAGCTGAGAATACCAGTATTCCCTCCTCCAGCTAGTCCAAATTACGACAGGTGCGACAGTCCTGCTCCTTTGATTTTAACTCAAGACGAGGCAGCCCAACTGGAGTATTTGAAAGTGCATGGTTTGCCACCTCCTGGTGAAGCTAAACCAGTACCAAGAGGCAAGTGATACAAGATAATATAGGATAAGTCAAGTAGTTCGCGATAAAATGCTTAACTTACATCGATATATGCTCATTATCCATTTTTAGACTTGAGATATGGTTGGTGGAGAATAACAGATGTCGATACATTTCAAGAATTATTGGAGCACCTTCATTCTCGCGGCGTTCGCGAGAAGGAACTAAAACGTACAACGTGGGCAACCATGGAATCCTTTTTAGCTGTTACGGGAAAGATCAACGTGGACCCTGGCAATGTTACTGCAACTGAACTTCAAGCGACGCCCGACGAACCCGATACACCGGTTCCAAAACCAGATAACCCAGCAGACTGGAGCGAACAAGTCGCGTTACGTGTGGATGCGCAGTTATTGGAACAAGTTGAGGCCCTAGAAGACAAAGTCGCAAATGCCAGCATGCAGGTCAAAGGCTGGAAGTTACCTCCACGGGCAGGAACCGAGGAGGCTGAAGAAATTGAAAAACTAAACGAGATGGAGAAGATAAGTGCAGTTGAACAAGCGCGACAAAGATTATTGTCTCTGGAAGCTGCTATAGAAAGGAGATACTTAAAACCACCATTAGGCGTTTGGTAAGGCTATCTACGTGATGTTTAAATATTCTAAATTTCGCTCGAGTATCATTTCATTTGTTTATTCGAAATTATAGTACGGGAGATCCAAACTTAGCGGCCTTAAAAGCAGAACAAGCGGCTGCTGCAAACGCGAATTCGAATAATTCGGATCAGAACAGTCAGACCCCGGTACCTCAAGAAGAAACGACTCCAAGAGGACTGAACAACTGGCGGGAGGCAACAGCTCGAGCACATACATCAGCTCAGCTCGCTATGGCACTTTATATGTTGGAGGCCAGCATCGCTTGGGACAAGAGCATCATGAAGGCTGTGAGTCTAACACCAGCTAGAAACTCGGTCTGCGTCAAGCTACGAAACCGCTGCGTCTCACTCAAAGCTACCACTCAATACAATCAGCTATTGACTACTTCTCAGGCCTCTGTGGGTATTCGCACTAACTTACTAACCAAAGTATCCTTTTTACTTCCTGCGTGACTCTCTTGTCCTTCCTTGCACAGTGAACCACAGAGAGTATATCGCTTTCGACAATGATTGGTAAACGTTTAGTCAAACGAAATGCTCTTAGCGTGGTACTTTCCATAATATATTTACATCCAGTATTGTGAGGAAGTCTGTACGAATTCATCGAAATTTTTATGAGTGCGAATAATGCGGCAATCACAAAAAATAAAATACGAAAGAGTCGAAAGTCCGAAGTCGAAGAGTCCTTTGATATAGCTTAATACTAATTCAACATAGTCTAACATTTTAACAGTATATAAAAATGCGAAACACTATTCTAAATTGCTGTAATTTAAAGGAAAAATGTCACGTTAATGCGTTTAAGGGTGGTTAGAGTTTAACGTAACGGTAGCATGCGAAGAAAATATGCCGCTTATCGTCTATTAATTTTTCCCTTTAATGCTTCATATTTTTTCGTTCGTAGAGTAGCTCTCACGTTTAGTTAGCACAAATTGTATATTACATGCATAGTTCAAGCATTAAAATAATTTATTATTCTGATGCTACTTTGTGCAAGTTTTCATACATATTCCAATCCACCAATTATATATCCAAATTTAATTATATATTAAGCCATAATAACAAAATGCACGATGCAACATAAGTACTACTAAACTGCTTTGCGCTAATTTCGTTAATTAAGTATTCTTGAATGTTGATTTATCCCACCTATTTAATATATTCTTTGCTCATTAACATTTATTGCATTGATGGGGTTTAATTTCAAATGCTTGAGTAATAAACGCTGAAAGACTAAAATCTGCCTATTCTAAGTAAAACGTTTTGTCGCTTTAAATTGGAAAGTTTTCTTTTTCTGTTACAGAATTGTCAGTTTTGTCACAGCGGAGATAACGAAGACAAACTATTACTGTGTGATGGTTGTGACCGCGGCTATCATACTTATTGTTTCCGTCCAAAAATGGAAAACATTCCTGATGGTGACTGGTAAGGAATTGTATCTTAGACGTTCATCGTGTGGTAAAATTCCATGTGGAATTAAACGAATGTGAACGTTTCAGGTATTGTCACGAATGCATGAACAAAGCAACAGGTGAACGAAACTGTTTGGTATGTGGAAAGAGAGTTGGTAAAAACTTAGTGCTATGTGAACTCTGTCCACGAGCTTATCACACTGACTGCCACAATCCTGTTATGCCAAAAGTAAGTGATCCTCCTTAACAGCCATTTGCGTATAGATGGAAGCCCCCTTTATAAGTGGAATAAAATATTTTATTTAATCCACATGATTCACTTATGTGTCTTATGCTTTCAGATGCCAAGGGGAAAATGGTATTGTTCTAATTGCCACAGTAAACAACCAAAGAAGAGAAATAGTAGTCGAAGGAGTCATACCAAAGGGGGAGGCACCAGAGAAAGTGAAAGTTCTGATCATCCACCAGCTAGGTGATTACGTTAAAAAAACCAAACATTGTCAACTCGCTGACTTAACAACGTTTCATACGAAGTATAGAGTAGGGAAACAGCTACGAAACCATGACTCAATATTTATAACGTTCAGCGAACGCAAACCATGAATAAACAATTTCCGATCGAATAAAAGATACAAAAAACTGCTTTAAAACGAACGAACATAAAAGCATACACTGTTCTCATGCGATTATACCGACTTACATCCTCGACCCGTATCGTATATACTCGTCGAAAATTATTGTAAGGAAGTATTTACTTCATACAGGGTGTTCCACGAAAGGTTAATTATAGTTAATGTTCTTCTTCCTACTAAAAGCAATCGTCGATAGGTAGGTTTTTCTTCGTTCGAGCGATATTATTCTGTATACTCTGTGAATATATTATCGTGTTAGGTCCCTTTTCGTCGGGGGACACCCTGTACTTTGTACAGCGTGATACGAACATCGACTGTGGGATGGGTATTTTCTCAGAAAATTCGTCGTAACGATAGAACAGCCTTCATGTTCTATGATTACTTAATAATAATAATAATAATAATAATAATAATAATAAACCATAAATGGGCAAAAACGGCGAGAGAGAAAAAAGCGAGACCAAATAAAACGAAAGACAAAGAGTCAGAAAGATGAAATGTTCCATCGAGAACAACGTACCCGTCTCAAGCAGAAAATACACGCTTGAGTCTTAATGCATTCGTCCAGAAGCTTTTATGACGGAAAAACCTCCTGCAAACGAGAAAGCTAATCGTGCAAATAATTTCTGTTGTTTTGCGTCGCAGTCCAACGCCGTCAACGGCATCGAACACACACGTAGAGGACGTCAGTTCATCGGAACCGGCAACCCCAACTGCTTCGCCACGGAAGGAGGGAAACAATAGGACGCTCACGAAGAAACAGCAACGAGAGTTGGCTCCTTGTAAGGTGCTACTCGAACAGTTGGAGCAACAGGACGAGGCCTGGCCGTTCCTCTTGCCGGTGAACACCAAACAGTTCCCTACCTACAAGAAAATTATTAAAACACCCATGGATCTCAGTACGATCAAGAAGAAATTGCAGGACTCCGTGTAAGTTACACGCGTACCAACGACTACTAGTTAATTGAACGTACTCTCTATTTAGTTCCCTAAACATAAAAAACAGTTCACCTAAGATCTCTAGAAAAAAAAGCTCTAACTTGATCGTCAGCTTCAATCCGAACAAATTGGAAAATTCCGAACATGTTCCAAAGAGTGCTTCTCGATACAGGTACAAGTCTCGCGATGAGTTTTGCGCCGATGTCAGACAGATGTTCATCAACTGCGAGGTATTCAACGAGGACGACAGTCCTGTGGGGAAGGCCGGACACGGGATGCGCAGTTTCTTCGAAATGCGCTGGACCGAGATTACTGGCGCACCACCTCCACATCCGCAAACGCATAGCTGAGGCTCGGTCCGCTCTCGTAACACCTGCAACAGTTTTGCCCACTTCTACTACTAGAGGGTAGAGCCCTCGTCAGAGTATCACTAGCAGTCGTCGAAGAGACTAAAGGGGAGACCTGTTTCCTCCGTGCTCCGTTGGCCTCGTTCTAGCGGTCGACAGAATAACTTTAATTCTAATAGAGAACAAAAAAAAAAAAAAAAAAAATAAACGAAAAAAAAAACCACGAATGCGGGTACATCTTCGTGCGCGTCGCGTTACGTGCGTGTTCCATTCGCCACTCCTGATCTTATACTCGTTACTCGCCCGTAATCGACGCTCGCGTGGGCGCTTCTCGCATTCTAAGCACACATACTTTAATACTCGAAATAATCCGATGGTGGCGAACGTTTTTAACGGCTCGTACTTCTCCTTTCTTCTAGCATTCAACGACGAACTTAACAAACGTTACAAGAATTCTATATTCGTCGAAATGTTTCTGCCGAACAGAACTCAAGTTGCGTTTAAGAACGAACCTTATAAGGATTGTAAGTAGGATAAATGAGAGGAGCTTTATCGTGGCCGGAAGCTATGACAGAGATTTTACGTATAGATTACGTTTTGTGATTCGGAGCTTCGTAAGATCGACGCGACTAAAAACATCCATGTGTGAGACACATCTACTCATTCGAAGCCTCTAACCCCCCCCCCCCCTTAAATGTATAAATATGAATATAGTGTATATGTATACTACATAGATAGTCACATCACATGAAAACATGCAACACACACATAACACCTCTGCCCATAAAAACATCAGCACGATAAGGGTAACATTTGCTGTACAGTAAGATATACAACAGAATGACGAAACGAAGTCAATCTTCCAATTAAGGACGAAGTTAATGCCATTCCACGGATTCTTTGTCCCTTCTTTTTATTAATTCGCTTTCTATCTTATTTATTTATGTTTAAATAATAGGTGAACGGAAATGAGGCTTATGATTGAATGATTGCACACAAATAGAATAAAACTTATAACTCGACGTGAATTTTTGATAAAAAGAAATTCTAATCTTTATTAAATGATACTTTGTATATAATTTGCAAGGAAGAATTGAAGTTATATGATATATAAGTTTGACATCAAATATACGAACATTTGGAAATGTAGTCTGACAAAATTGAACGTGAATATTTTTTATTTATTCAAAATTGCGTCTTAATCTTATTTAGCACGTTTAAGACTAGTGCTGCAATAATTCTACTGATATCATTTGGTTCTTTATATCACCTTTGTAAACAATATAAAGTTAAATTCCATTTAACTCAATGACCGAATAATTATATACGTTGAATGGCAGTTGCTTTTAACAAAGAAGGAAAAATTAGGAATTTTAAAGCAAGGCAATGAATGATCGTGTTTTCGTTTTCTTTAAATTAAAGCAGTTTTATCCTACATGGTGCGTAGCATTACAGTATGAAATGTAAGCGTCGTCGAATTTTATCCGCGTCGAGTTCCAACAGGACCTCGTTTAATTGTTCGTTGTAATAATACGAGTTTTTTAAGCGATATTCGATTCTTCGGTAGGATTATAGTAATGTAATATCTCACATGCAGTGTACCCAAAATGATGAACAACAATAACAATAACAACAACAACAACAACAACAACAACAACCTATAACACGTTTCGAAACGGATATCGTGCGTCACAGGGCGTTGTAAGAATATGCTACGTATGATTGATGGTGTCGGTAGTAAGTCTTGGATTATTAATAAGCCGCGGTACCTTCGCAAATGTGACCATCGCGCGACGATAAAACGATTAACACAAGAACATTAATGATATCTTGTTTTTTATGTAATTGATGTACATTATTGCTCGTAATAGCGGATAGATATGTAATAACGAAGATTAAAGAGAGAACACGGAGAAAGAAAGAGCGAAAGAGAGAGCGAGAGAGAGAGAGAAGTGGTTCGGCCGTAGTGATATGTGCTAAACATTCGTAGTATGTAAAAGTATTAGCTAGATTATAAAATACCGCGTGAAAACGATTTAAACGTGAAAGGTGATTAAAGAAATATGCGGGGTGCGGCTGGATGTATTGCCTGGATGCAAAATGGATGTATTGTCGCCCTAACATAGTCTAAGAACGATATCGGTATCGGTAAGATCGTAACGAGTGAAAACGCGCGTCTTTTTATTGTCACTCTTTGATTTGCAGTCACGATAAGTATATGAAATGATAGTATTTTTTTCGTTAATTTTATGTTTCTGCAAATCACTCATCATCATATACCTTGTTTTTATATCCTTTGAGACGATTATTAATTTTTGTAATTGTAGGTAACGAACGTAAAACACGCTATAAGGTTACGTAGTTTCATATGCGAGCGCAATGTCGGGGCATTTCGCGATCTTACCGAATGTTCTTAGAATGTAAGTCGACATAAACGTATGCGTGAACACATATGTACATCACTTTATGCACGCCTTGCACCCTCGTATTATAGTCGATGCATTAGACATCTCATACATTCAGACACACCAACAACAACAACAAGAACAAATAATTTTTTAAGATTCAATTATTATTTAAATAGAACAGTTACATTGTTAGTATGAATAACGACGCTTTTTATACGAATTTTAGTTTTTAACGTCGATCTTATGATATATTATATGGTATAATGATAATGACAATGGTAATAACAATAACGATAAATGATATCGATAATGGAACAGATTAAAGAGAAATGAAAACTGCGCAAATGAGAAAGAGAATACGAAGAAAGAACGAAAGAATAAGAGTGTGTGTTTAAGCTAGATGATTGTCTATAGTATAAACGAAGGCATACGTTAGGTAGCCTCGATGCTATTTAAACAGACTTAATTAATGTATTGCAAATGAATTAATAAAGTGTAAGCGAAGCGTGTATCTGTACAGTGAAATATTTCTTTCTGAATTATTTCAATTGCTCGAGTTTGGAAACGAAAACTTCTTCGAGTTACGTCGTATTAGTTAAAATTTTTCACAAACATCTTTATACAAGCAGAAACGAACATCGAAGTACCTCCAATTGTTTTTCTTTAACTTTGTCATTTTAATTTTCACTTTTACTAATTTTTAGTCGAATTATCCACTACAAAATGATAATTTTATCAACAGAAACAAAATCGTACTGATTCGTATTTTCCGCGGCCGCCATACTGCTATCGTCTATCTCACTCAAGATTTATCTCTGTCATCGTCGAGTGTGAATACATACGTCGCATTTGATACTAGTATCTACTGTTCGTGCCGGTAGAGAGGTTAGGAACGTTTTTAACATTCTTTTCTTTGTACTATTATTTGCTTGCAGTTTGCATATCAATTTTTTAAGCAGCATGCGATGACGACTTTCAACCATCTTCGAAGAAGATCTGCTAGTAAGTAAATTTTGAGTAAAGTTTAATTCTATTGGTGAGAATACGTAATGTCAATAAGCTCCAATGAAAATTCACAAAACAAAGAACAAATGCTAGTAATAAATTCAGCAAGTATTTTAACTTGAATCATTTAAAATATCAGTGCAATTGAATTATTATTGACCATTAATCAGGAAATGAATAATTTTGAAAACCATAATGTATTTTTATGAATACTTTGAATACATGAAATGTAACAAATAAGACGACTACAACAAAATTTACATATAAATAATTGTAGAACAATTTTCTTTTATTTAAAAAATCGAAATTAAATATTTTATGCCTTTTAAAATTTATTTATTATATTACTGCATTATTTTGTAATAATATTCAGTTTAATATTCAGTAGTCGTCCTTGAACTATTTACAATCAGCAAATGTAATAAATTTCATTATCGAATGAATTGATTGACAATAGAACGAATGAACGTCGCAAAAATATTACAAAATTTTGCATAATCTAATCGATGAATTTGTAAGATACGTGTTAAAATGTAAATTTATACAGTAACTAGACGTACATACATAACTATAAAACAAAATATTTCTATTTGTAATATTTTTTAATTTTTTAAATGTAACTTATCGTTTAACTTATGTTTTGTATTATTTTCAGAAACTCTACAATTTTTACAATCAAATAAGTATAATGGTTATAACAACTTTAGATTGTGTTTACGAAGTGAATCAACATTTGTACCGAAGCGAGTGCTCATTGTAGCGAAGTTGTCGCGATACCATTTTGAAAAACTACGGGAACCAAATTTAAATGAAGAAGAATTAAAAGTAAAATTACGGGAAAGAGGTTCTAATTATGATGGAATGTTGGCTAGTCATATAGCAACCCAAAATGTAAAATATCAAGTAACTGAAGTCTTAAAAAAAATGAACATAGAATATAAAATAATTAATAGGTAAATATAATCATTTATTGTATAAACTTATGTTAAATTAAATAATTATGAAACGTGTAGTATATTTTTTCTAATTCCTACATTTATGTCTTTTAAGGGAAAATTTAGATAGTTCAAATTTTGTTTGGGCTGATCTAATTCTACCGATTGGTGGAGATGGCACTTTTTTATTAGCCTCTAATATGATATTTGATAACAAAAAACCAATAATTGGTATTAATTCAAATCCGGAAAGGTCCGAAGGGTTTCTTATGTTACCGCCGAAGTACACAAGTAACATACCGGAAATTTTTGAAATGTTAAAAGCAGGTAACTATAATATAAAAATGAGACGGAGAATTCGTACTACGATAAAAGGAGATAATATTTGGGATAGCCCTTTCCACACTCATGAAAAAGGACGTGTTGTAGGTGGAGAAAAGTATGAAATTGAATTATATTTTAAATAATATAAATTTAAAAATGTCATGTATTACATAAGTTTCTTAATTTTACAGATTTTATACGCAAAATTTGGAGAAAGATATACCGAATAATTTACCAAAAGAAAGACGTTTGCCTTGGTTAGCATTAAATGAAGTAAGTTAAATTAAATACATTATACATTTTATAATAATTATAACATCTCTTTTGTATATAGGTATTTATAGCAGAATCACTTTCTGCTAGAACAAGTTCATTACTTATAAAAATAGATAAGGAAGATAAATATCATTTAGTGAAAAGCTCTGGTCTATGTGTTAGCACAGGAACAGGATCAACATCTTGGTATAGATCTATAAATAGTATTAGTCCACTAACAGTGCAAGAAATACTGAAGCTTTTCAATGAAAAAGAACAATTTAGCAACTATACAATTGAAAAAATTTGTTCCACTTTTAATAATAGCTTACATTTCGGCGCGGGTATGTATAATATTGTATTATACATCGACAATTATTATAAAATATTTATTTATATTCCAGAGGAATTAAAATTATGTTATGCTATAAGAGATATGATAGTAACTGATATTTGGCCTACTCCAAAATACATACATCCACGAGGATTTTGTAATAAGTTAACAATACGATCGCAGTGTTTCGATGCTAGTATAGTCATTGATGGTGGTATAGCGGTGCCGTTTAATTTTGGAACTACAGCAGTATTGGAAGTTTATCCCGAAGATTCTTTGCAGGCTTTAATCCTTCCAGATTAATGAATAAGATTAATGAATTCATATAAAAGTTTTATTAATTTAGGTTAAGGTGTTGAAAAATAGTTGAAGTATCAATAGTATTAATGTATTTAAGATTAACGAAAATTCAATACGAAAGAATTGTACTTTTGTACTTTAAAATATTTTGAAATTTTACAAGGTACATTTAATTTGATATTCATATTACGTAAAATTATAGGGTTTAATGTGTATAACTTGGAGTACTATATTTCAATAGATAAAATCAATGTGATCGTGTATATATATTATAAATGAATTTTTTTTAACTGTATTAGGTAACAATAAAGAAACAAATATATTATTATAAAATTATTAAATAACGTATATAATATTTATTCGTGCTTATAAAGATTTTTATAAAAAGGTTAATCAAATTGAAACAATTATTTCAAGCAGATCGGTCCTCGTACGCTTCGAGTCATAGACTACGCCATCATGAAAGCTTTTCTCTAACAATTTTCTATTATACACGATGTAATATATGTTTTTTTAAGGATTTATTTAGTTTGTAAGGATTTGAAAAAATGATATATTTTTATATCTATTTTATCGAGTATAGGGACTACGTTGAATGTAATTCCAAAACTCAGCATTTTAAATTTTCAATTTTAATACGTAGTTGTTAACTTTTGTTGGTATGAAGGTACCGAAAGATGGCACTAGGTTCAGCTTTATCACATGGCGCCGCCATTACCATGTAAAAAATTTATGCGCAACTCATGTAGAGAAATTTATACATTTGCTTGTGTTTATTCCTGTTACAAAGAAAGTTGTGATATTTGGCAAAAAAGTTGAAAATCAGATATTTTGTTAGAAATTATTTCTCTCGGGATGATACGCGAGTGGAATATGTTGACAATTGACTCTTCACTGATGGGTTTGGATTAATGAAAACTTACAAGACGTAAACGGTAAAGAAAATTCATGGTTTTTTTATTGCAATTGAAACGCTATGCTTCTTACGTTCTTTAATTATTGATGTATACAAGTCTAAATTTTATTTGTAACTTTTATGGAAAATAAATACAAACGATGTAAAGAGAAAAGTAGGTGTTTCCAAAATTGAACATTTCTTAATCGAGTTTGAGGTTAGAATGTTTCGTTAATATCTTGAAAGATTTTTTTATTATCGATATGCTGTTGACGATTTTTTTTTTTATTTTATGGTGAATCACTAATATAAATGAAGCCAGCAAGACGTCATTGCAGAAGAACTATTTACACAATAGCTATGGGGTTTCCATATTTTGGAGAAGCCTTTTGTTAGTATCAGTAAGGGCATCGACCGTATCAACTGTTGCATTTCATACATTGTGGAACCGTAAAATTTGTTTTTTTCTTTTTTATTTTATTTCTCTCCTATATTTTTTATATAATAAAAGGTCAATAAGAAAAACATAAAATATCGATATCACCAGATCTTTGCAAAAAAGTCTTTTAAAACTCTTTCTAGGTTTACGATGGATAAAACGATAGATAAAATCTTTATCGAAAAAGATATCAGGAATATTTTCGTGCGATAATAAATCGGATAAGAAAATTATTATCGAACGTATCTGTGAATCTAAGTATTTCCGTAAGAAAATAAACCTTTGTTGCATTTGACAAGTAAATTCATTCATGTTTCTCATTCATTTGTACCATCAAAAATCACGTTCCCATTTTCTTATCAATGCATACATGTATCTATATACAAAGCGTTCATAATAAAATCGGTGGCTTTGCTACAGTGTATTACTAAAAACTCAATTTTATATCTCATATAATCAATTGCAGATGTATGTAATTTGATACTAATTTCAATATGTATGTATTTGTCTGTATGTGTGAATAAAGTGGATAAATATATCTTTCCACTTAAATAAATGATCCTTGATACTCGAAATTGTATAAAACTCACGTACACGGTTATACAAAGATAGAAAAGTAATATTCGAGGTAATCGAACTAGATTTTTATTACCGTTCGGGATTTTATAGGAAATCGTTTCGGAAACGAACATGGAATTAAAAAGAAAATTGCCGAAATTATTAGTACTTTTATGTTACACTAATCTTAATGCTATTCGAGCATCTAATGATAAAAAAGGATAAGTAGTGGAAATTGCGTTATCACATAAATGATATTCTTAGAGTTTGAATACTGCGTTGAAGCAAATCTCAAGAAAGTACAGCCAGCACAAGCAAATCGCCAAGAATGAGTATAATGCTATATCCACACTGGCGGAAGCTGTACGCGTACAGTAGTATGGTATCCAGATTATACGCAGTGCGAGACTCTTAAATTTACGAATAAGTCTGTTAATATGTACACTTCTCGAGCAAACTATGTTCACCAAAAGCTGTTCACTGAACACGAAAATATCCATATTGCCGGCAAATATAGTTCGCGAACCGCTCGTGAACGGTAGTCCATATTCAGTACAACACGTGTCAAATATTTTCAATTTTAATAAGTTATTCCGAAATCAATGTATTTATTATTGTCCTAAAAAATTTGTCTTCGTGTCGCATGAATTGCATTGATAAATGAGTCATTTTGGATCATGCTTTACATCATACATACGTAACGATATTTAAGCAACGTATCGTTAATTCGATAAATCGTAATTAGTAATCAGGAATCATTACAGCAAGTCATTTTTTTGTTGTTTCTTTTATCAGCGTAATTAATTAGTCTGTAGTAGTGGAGTGTTAGAGAAAATCGACGCACGAAATATGAAACTTAGTCAAAATGTTACGTTAATCGGTATGTGTTTCTGCTCGATAATATTGGATGTAATATAGTTAGTATTTATTTATTACGATATAGTAATACTGACCTGTATTTAATTGTTTTCAGACCATCGTCGTGGATAACAAAAAGGCAATATAATGGCAGAAGATGAGAGGCAAATTAGAGCGTTGGCTGAAAGCTTGCGGAATGAATCTATAAACTCTCAGAGGAGTTTATACTCTCAGCAAAACATAACACGAACACCGGATATCATTCTTAGCGAGGATATTATCGCGGGTGCCATGCTGTACGGGAGGATGTCCAACGTCAGACGTTTCTTTTGCCTTTTCGTTACCTTCGATCTTCTGCTCACCTTCCTTATGTGGCTTATATGCACAATGGTAAATCGTATATATTATCAGTATACACTTCGATCAATTTCAAGCCGGAGAAAAGAGATATCACGTGTATTTGTTTGATCATACAAGCAGAAGAAATTCACATGCGATAACTTGTACTTACGCGAAACATATTTTTAGATTGCTGGCGAGAGTTTAGCGTCTGCTTTCACGAATCAAGTAGTCCATTATCATATAAAAACTTCGCTTTTCGACATAGTGGTAAGTACCGTAGCATTTATTTAGCAGTACAATGAATAATTTAAAGAAGAAAAAGTGTCCAGCATGATACTCGATAGGGACAGAGATTTTAAAGATTTTATCTTCTTAGATGACAGCGATTTGTAGGTTTATAGTGTTGTTACTCTTCTATGCGTTGCTCCATTTGAACCATTGGATCATCGCAGCCGTAAGTGCTATAATTTCACATACGATTCGAACGTAATTAATTGTAAAACAATGATATACGATATTTGTTAAAGTAACGTTGTACGGTTTGTTACAGCTAACAACTGCCACGACATGTGCTTTCTTAATGGCCAAAGTGTTCCTTTTCGATGTAAATACTGATATTTCCATTATACATTGGTTATTTATAATAAAAGATTATTCTACACTTTTCATTTCCAGTGGTCAAGATGTAGTCAACCAGTATTTCAAGTTCTTCTTATCCTTACGTCTTTTGTATTGCCTTGGGTTGAAGTTTGGTATTTTGATATTCGCGTGCTACCTCAGGAAACAAAAGCTACACGTTGGTTTAGAAGTAGGATGTTGTTATTCCCTTTTTATTGAATTTAGCAACTGATATTGTGTGTCAGTAGCGAATAAAAACTTCGAATTGATTTTAGATGTCGCGGAGAGTGAAAGAGAACCACTTCTCCGGAGGTTTACTTCCGAATCACGTCAATATACCAATGTTGAACCCACTGGTGGATTTTTCACACCTATAGATTCGCCAGATTATTCTGACCATGAGGATAAATATCCTACAAATACAAGACCAAGTAGCTCTAAAGGTTTGTCGAAAAGGAATGAAACTCCGCCTAAATCTGTACAAAAACTTACATCAGAAATGGTAACCAAGTATTCTATAATGATACTTCCTAGAAGTGTATAGAAGTCTTTTATAAGCAACATTTCAATTGTTCACAGATAGAGGATTATAAACGAAGAGCAAATGCATTAGTGCAAAATTGTCATACTTTATTGCAATCTCAAGATTGGCAAATTCAAAATATACTTACAAATGGCGATATTATCTTTTATATAAATAATTTTAAATCGCTAGGAAAAATTTTAAAAATAGTAGTAAGTGGAATATCGATTGTATTTAATTCTGTATTTTTTCTGTCATAAAATTATTTAATTGTTTTAGGGAATTATTGAAGCCCCAGCTAATATACTCATGAACAAACTATTTGATGAAATTGAGATATTACCAACGTGGAATAAACTTGTTACAGAATCGAGAAAGTTACAGGTAACAATTTTTTCTTAATTTCATATATTAATTAAAATAATTTATCGACATATATTTCTTAATTAGTACATTGACGAGAATACAGATGTTGTTTATCAAGCCACAAATGCTCAAGGCGGAGGCATTATTGGTGCTCGAGATTTTGTTATTTTAAGACATCGCATTCACTATGGCAATTACTATATTAATAGTGGTACATCGGTACCTTTCCCATCGTTACCAAGTCGTAGTAATGTTGTCAGGTAAGATGATAAAATATGTTACTAAAATTATTTTGTATCGGAAAGTAATTACGTTAATAAATATTATATTAAAGGGGCGAAAACAATTTAAGTTGCTGGGCAGCAGAACGGTTACCTAACGAAGAGAACAAATGTAGATTTACATGGATTGTCAATACAAATTTAAAGGGTTGGATTCCACAAAAAGTCGTAGATAAATCAATGTCTACTGCATTAGTAGATTTTATGTCTTACATAAGAACGTACATGGATGATACACAAAGATCAACTGCTTAGTACAATGCTCGTTTTAATAATTGATCAAAAAATCATGGTCTTTCATAGTCATCCTCTGGAGTTGTGTAATTGAATGAACATCGATCTTTCATTGCATTTTTAATATTCCGAAAACAACGCAATCTTTAATTAAATCATATTTGATGTCCCTGCAGTGTTTTCCATGTGTTATGTACATCAGTGAAAACTAAATGACAAATGTAGAAAGAGTCTCTAAATGGTATTTGTTGGAGAGCTGCCAGACTGACAGAACAGTAAAAGACTTTTTTTACACGCTTTGTATCTCGTAAAGAAGAATTAAAGTTAAGGGATACTTGTTATGTATAAAATATGTAAAGAAAATGATTGATATCTTATTTTCAATGCAGTTATATTTTAAATTAATAGAAAAATTTATACATTTTAATATAGATGAAATGGAATTTAGGCAATCACCCTGTTTTATAATCACCTTGTAATATAACGTATATATCTTTTGTATTGTTTATTTATGAATCATTCACAAGGAATATTATCATAATAAAATTGTATTTTTTCATTTACAGATGTTCTAAACTATTGATAATACTGTGGCATTTAATCTTCTGCGCAATTTTATTTCATATTCAATAATTAATTCGTCATTTTCTATAATCTTCGTTTCCAATGTAAAAATGTTAAACTGTGAATATATGATTCTAGGTAAAGTTATTTTTATTATAAAAATATTATATTGAGACAATCGTTTGATTAACATTCAAATTTTGAGAATATTTGTTAAATTACAGCATAGATGTGCAGACGTATAGTCTGTGACTAGATCATGCTTCGTATAGATTGTTATTTGTCTATATATCTCATGAAAATTGTATTTCTAATACACATTCAATCATGACATGTACACATAAATACGATTGTCCTTACCTTGGTTGCAGAAAAGCAATAACATTAAAAGAGCTGTGGAATATATAAATAATATGACTAAGAAAATGCAATGGGAAATTACGACAAAAATATTTATTTAAAGCATCTATTGTGAGTTATAAAAAAAGAATACATAATGAAATAATTTGTTTATTGAAAGCATTTCTCTTATTCTCGATAATTACACATAATAGTTCTTGTTGTTTTATCCATTAATTGACGGTTGTGAAAAAGTGCATTTGATATGATAGGAATGAAAAAAATACAAAGAATACAATTTCGATGAGGATACAGCATTTAACATTAAAGTAGTTTTAAAGAAATTTATTTTTTGTTTCAAATACTACATATTTTTATTGCAAATAAAAATGTAAAATTTATAAATATAAATATATAGATGTTATTATTTTTCATTATGTATCTTTGTATGTATATATTAGTGCATGTTCCATTAGTCACGTTTTTATTCTTTGTTCTGTCTTTCTATAGTAATTGTAATCAAATTAATTGTGTATTCGATTTTCAAGTCAGTGAGTACGAATTGCACTTTTGAGCGAACAACGATTAAAGTGATATCTTATCAAATGTCAAGTTTGATGTGTCTACTGGCCTAAATAAATAATATTGCTTATATATTCTTCCTTTATAGAACTTCCTTTTCCTAATTAATTTCATATAATTTAAAAAATTTTTTAGACCCTTCTTGGCAAAATATTTGTATTCATTTCATAATCTAATTATTCAAATGCTTTTTATTATCAATTAATCCGTTTGAGATGCTTCAGTTGTAAGCGTAAAATAAAAATGTGCTTTAAGCATTTATATTCATTTACACGACTTTTACAGAGGTCTTTATCGTTACGCTTTAATTTTCACTTCTTCTAACTACAAAGTTGAAGTCCATTATCTATTTCATATTGTAGCGTACTAAAATGTAATAAATAAATGTTTCTTTCCAAAATCTTGTTATCTAAAAAACTTGAATGTTTAATACTATCCTCTTTAATACTGTCATAACATTTCGTTCTTTTCAAAGTTTGAAGATCGAATAATATTTACCGTTGATTGTAGTTTACAGACTAACGATACACACTGATTGCAATATAACGCAGTGAACGACACTTACCGAAGTTTCGAGATTCCACATGAATAATTCGTAAATGAAAGTTTGTTATCATCGTGAAACAATCCAAAAGAAAAGTCAAGAAGAAAAGAAACCAACGAGGAAAGTTATTGAAGTTTAGTGCGCACGCATTAAAGCGAGCGGTGATATACAATCGGTGGGACGGCACGTAGAACAGGTGGCGCTGGTGCAGGAGCCACAACTGAAATCGGGAAAGTCAGTCAGTCGGTCTCGCGCCTTACGCGTGTGCTTATCAAGTTTTGTGTTCGTTTACAGTGTCAGGACATCGTGTTTCATTTCCACGTATATATTTTCAAAACGATTGTCAACGTTTATCGTGACAAGAACTTCCTCCCTGTTCGATCCTACAAGCCTGTGACTGCGACTTACATCTCAACGGAACGACGCCGGTTCAGGACAATGCCGGAAACGTAAAGGACGCTTCGGAGCGTCTACAACAAGATGCTGCAGAAATGGTGAGTGCAAATGATTTCTCTTATCATTTCTTCCCTTCAAATGCGGTGTAATTTCACGAATGTCATACACTGTGATCATTCAAACAATCCTTCTATCTTGTCATCTAAAAACGGACTGTTAATATGTGCCGGTTATACGTGTTTTCTTTACTGATTCGAATCGACAAAAATACAACTTTATACGACAGATTCTCAAGTAAAGATACTCTACAGATCCGCCTACAGATTCTCAAGTGTAGTTTATTTCCGAACCGTACTTCGTCGTGCGTAGAAAAATGCGTTTCTAGAAGATCATAAGCTAGATCTACTGGAAGGTTGAATTTGATCGATAAATAATTCCAAGGCACATTTGACAGACGTGACATTTTTTAACATCGACATTTTCTATTTGAAATTGAGACGTTTCGTAAATCCTAGCCTCTGTCTTTTATTATTCGTTTCTCGCGTATGTGTCCTGAGACGCATCGAGGTCGCACATTCGATGTCTATCCCCGATCGTTTGGGCACGATCCTTCTGACCTTCGACCTTCCGAGTCGAGCGAATATGCATATTAGGTATCTCTGTGTATACGTTTACAGAGTCGTGTGCACGACGATTTACGACGCGATGTACTCGTTTCCTCAAGGAAGACAGAATTCTGCGGTTTCGAACGTGTTGTCGTCAGAAAAGTAACATCTCTCTCCTCTCCATTTTTTTTTCTTTCTACGTGCATTTCCGTTTCGAGGTAACTTTGTTTCAAACTTGTTCCTGCCGCCTTTTCCTACAGGCGAACTTTTCAACGCTAGATGAGTTTTTGATTCTCATCTGTTTAACAAACATCGGGCCACTTTGATCTCCGTATAATTTTTTATCAGTTCTACTACCCTTTCGAATAACATGCGCCCTAGTGAAACGTAGTGAAACGAATAGCCGGAGTAATACGAAATAACGGTATATACTATGCATGGTAAATCGAGCGATATAATTTAGACAAATGGTAGAATCGGTAGAAAATTATCGCAAACTATTATTAGCGTCTTAAACGTTCGGTTATATGAATATTTTTCCTTCGTGCGAGGATAATTTTTTCACGATGGTTATCCACCTGGTCCGTACACGAGTAAACGAACTATCATGTTGCATCGTCGGGGTTCTGTTGACAGTAGCGTAGACGTTGACCTTTGGCAGCGGGAGAAACAGTTTTCTAGGCGTGACGCGGTCTCCCCCAAGGTGAATCGATTTTGCGCGCGGTTTCGAAATTTAAATTTGAACACCAAAAGCCGCGGCACAGCCGAAATTCCTCTTCGGTCTGCGTAAATACAAATAATTCGCTTTAAGACGCGATCATTCGTACCCGGGTAAACCGTTACAGTTGTTAAAACAATTACACTCCTCTTAATCCCCTAATTTCAGTTGTTAAATTTTCAACGATTTAACGGTGAACAAAAAATTACATAAAATTCTTACGCAACTTCGTAATAGAAATTTTGTACGATCAGGAAATCAGGAAATTTCGTAGCATCTTCAGAATCCTTCGTAAATTCTCTTAATCCTTTAAAAATTTATAACGCGATCGAAAAATTCGAATTTTGAAACTGCTAGAAATTTTTGGAAAATATTTTACCACACGACGAATGAGCGTTTAGTTACCAAAGTTAATCAAATTTATTAGGATTACGAGTGACTGGGATTTTTTCGCGAAGCGCAAGGTATTTCGACAATTTCGATCTATCGAATTGCATCGTTACTCGAAATAACGTTTAGTCGTAATCGACGATGTTCCGGGATCGTTGCGAATTTCGCATATGTCGGGTTTCGCTTCACCAAAAGTCCTTGGTATCGTCTTCTTGATCGAGAGACTATCAATCCGATGTTGGCATTATTTCAAAAGCAAGCTTCTGCTTTTCGCGTGTAAATGGCTGTACTTAAGGTATCGTTGCATCGCGACGAGACACGTTGTTGTGCGACCAGCCAACGTCATATACTATTATAATAAACTATTCCCCGTTTATCGTATAACTTGGAAATCCAACAACGTAGCCCATTATGCCCCATTATTTGTTATTTTCATCCGGAATAATCGACTTCGTGTAATTCCTGCCTCGAATGCAGAATTCAAATAACGAACATCCAATTAGTTCGACTATCTTTTATATGTACAAGTTCGCTCATTCTCGAGACCGAAGGTAATTCACCGAGTAAACCGCTGACAGGAACGAGATTAATCCACAGACGGGGAGCAAAAAGTACCATTTTTCGATCTTCTGGAAAAAAATTTACTTCAACAACCACGAAGATTTATGATACGATACGTTTCAACAGGTTGTTGATATACGTGCACGTACTTTTCCTCCCCTAAATCATCGAAGAACACTTACTGACCCCTCCTTCCACTGCTAGGCTATCGTCTCTACCCTAGAATCGTCGCCATTATGGTAGCACGCAACTGTAGACCGCAATGAATCTACGAAAGTAACACGATTTCCGGATAATTTTAGCCATTTTACTAATGTTCCTCGATAAAACTTCGTAACTAAAGTCATTCACGTAGTTTTCTTCGCTCGAATCATTCAAGAACATTTGTCGACTCCTTCCTCTGCTAGGATATCTCGATTTTGGAATCGTTAGAGTTACTACGAATCTAAACGAATCTATGAAAGTAGCTAGATATCCACTTATGTTTTAACCATTTATCGAGTTTTCCGGAATAAAATAAAGTTCACGGGAAGTTGACGAGTTCGACTATTCTTCATATTACCAGTAGAACCTTTTAGGTTCACTCTTTGCCGATGTTGCAAGGAAACGTACACGGAGTAATGAATCTATAGTGACGAAAATGTACAGATGTATTTCTGCATCTGTCGAAGGGTAGTTGCGAAATTCCCGTTGGAGCAAACGAACCGTGATTAATCAAAAGCTTTGGCAGCCATAACAGTCGGAGCTGGTAGA